TTTTTTTTTTTGGTTGCAGTCATCATTGTTGTTTGGTGGGCCTGGGCTCGATTCAAATCTGCCACCTTAGGTGTATGTGGCTGGCACCTTAGCCACTTGAGCCACTGGCACTGAGCCTATTTTTGCAGTTTTTGACCAGGGTCAGGCTCGAGCCCGCCACCCCCAGTATATGGGGCCAGAGCCCTTCTCTGTGAGCCACAGGCACTGCCCCTAATGTATGAATTTAAAACACAGCAAAGGGTGGTTCCCTTAGCTCAGTGTGGGTATGGTACCGGCCACATACACTGAGCCTGGTGGGTTTGAACCTGGCCTGGGCCAGCTAAAACAACGACAACTACAAAAAAAAATAGCTGGGCATTGTGGCAGGCGCCTTTAGTCCCAGCTACTTGGGAGGCTGAGGCAAAAGAATTGCTTAAGCCCAAGAGTTTGAGGTTGCTATGAACTATGACACCACTGCGCTCTACCAAGGGTGACAACTTGAGGCTGTGTCTCAAAAAAAAATTAAATAAATATTAAAACAGGGAAGGCCAGTATCTCTACCTCCTTTCCTGCTGCTCTTCCCAGGGGAATAGGTGAAAACACTGGGCATCTGTCCACATTTTCCCTCTGCTTTCAGGAAGACATTTAATGCACATGCACAGAGATTATCATCAGGTTTCTGATTTGTCTTTGTACATATAATAGAAACAGGACATGGATGTCCTGCTTTTTTTTTCTAAAGAGCAAAGCTATATACAGTCTATTTTTTGTTACTGCCTACAAAGTGAGCTTGGCCTCCAGTCCTCAGGAAGCTCCCCAAAACTCCAGCCAGGGCCTTCGGGCTCTAGCCCCGCCCTCTCCCCTCTAACAACCAGTGCACAAGTCTGAGAATGGCCACAGGATGACAAGGGGTTGACAGGTGAATTCCTTCAATAGGCCTGCCCACATCTACCCTGGTGGGGCTCACCTCCACCTGCCAGAGAGAAGCCCCCCATTTAGTCTACACTGCGTAATCATCAGGGTAGCAGACATGGGTTCCTTCTCTTCATTAGCCCATACCATGAGTATGGTCATGTACATTTTCTACAAGTGGGTCTAACATCTGGTTATATATATACAATCAATATTTTTCTCCCTAAATGCCATTTTTCTTTTTAATTTTGTTCATGTTGATTTGAGGCATACAAAAAATTTTTAATTCTATGAAATCAGATTGACCAATCTTTTCCTTTTTGGCTTTTTAGTATATATATATATATATATATA